GAGACACAAGAGTCTTCACCAGTCTCAACTGCTAGGCTAAAGGCCCATCCAGAGAAGTTGGCCTTTAATATGTACAGACAATTCATTCATATGATTTGACTCATGTAGGTGATAGTAAGGCAGGGGACATGGGAATATATATCAATGGTGGGGACATATCACTCTCTTTTTCTCAAGAAACAAGGAAGCACCATCAGCAGCCAAGTCGAGAAGGTGTAGACTTGAAGATATAGAGATAAGATATATATTGTTCATTTTGCAGGGTACAAGAGTGAATAGGTCATAGGAACACAATAGTATTTTTCTGGGAGCTTACAGAGCCTACTTGAGATTGTCATGAACTGAGGTGACATGAGCGTGATTCTGTGTTCTCCAGCTACAGAGGATGTCGATAGTGGGATTTAGCTAGAAAGTAGGGGAGGGGGTAGACTACAAAATCAGCTGGATATTAAGGGTAGTGTGTTGAAGGTGCACTAAAGAAAAGTTACAGACCATGAACTCTCACCTGGAGAGGGAAACAATGGAGGAAATGAGAGGAAGACACAGAAGAGTGAAAGGGTATTTAGATCAGTAGGGTATGGGTGATGAAAGAGTTGAGACCTTAGGTAGGAAGCGATGGAATGAGAAGATGGACAGAAATGTAAATGCTATTTAAATTCGGTGTGGGAAGGACACGCAGTTAGTTTTCACCCTCAACAGAATCGTATTTGTTACCAATCCCCTCTCTTAGAGCAGAGGGTTGGACAAAGTCCTACACATGAAACACAACCACTTGCTCATGTACTTTTTGCTAATCTGTCTCTTTTTCGGAGCCAAAGCCGCCCAGATTTGGGACTGAGGAGTGAGAAACTGAAGATGTCAAAGAAAGGGGTTGGGCTGCCATGAGGTCATCAAGTATGAGAAGTTTAAGATACTCCTGATAGAAGAAAAGACCTGACTGAATGGATAGTTATAGGTGGACCATGAGACAGATCGAAGTCACAGTCCAAGGCCTGTGGCTGTACAGCAAATGGAGCGGAAATGGCAGGGTGGGGGTTCCAGACACTCGGCAGAGCTTGGAAAGTCCACATTTTGGCTCTGCCTCCACTTCACATCTTCTCCAAGAACCAGCCATTGGAACAGGCAGGCAGCTTCAGGACTGCCGGGTGCCCTGTCTCTGCAGCGCCAGCCTCCGTGCCCTTGATCTCTGCACTGATCTTCCATGCTGCTGACTAACCCATGAGCTGTAAAGACTCTCTTCCCTTTCTCTCAGTGACGTTCCCCCTTGTCTGCTTTCCCTCTTTCTTTCTAGGTTCCACTATTTGCTTTTTCTCTTAAATGCTGATAATCCTCAATACTCTATTTTCAAGCCTCCATTTTTTATTTTACATACTGCCATGGTAACATGTCTATTATCCTAGCTCTGTCTGTCTGTCTCAATCTATCCATTTATCACACAATCATCCCTCTCAAGAGCCTGCCTCTCCTTTTTGTTTGCAGAATCTTACAATCTGTCTGCATACCCTGGGGGCATCTCAGACTCTATCCCTATTCAAAGCTACATTCATAAGCTTTCCATGTGCCGTTTCTCACTTTCCTTCCTCTGCTTCCAATTTAATCCATTAATAATTTCATTGAAGTTTCAGAATGTTCTTGGAAAAATGGAACTAAAAGGTACCGTGAATTTTCCATGAACTTTGTGAAGCACCCTCGTACTATCACCTGTTTCTGAATAATCTTCACCTGTATTTGGCTCTTTAATAGTCTTTCTTCCTTTTGTGTTGTTCAATATTGCAGTGCAGCCATGGTGACTTTTTAAGATTTATTTATTTATTAAAAAGGCAAATTTACAGAGAGAGAGAGAGAGAATATTTTCCATCTGCTGATTCACTCCCAGATGGCTGAAACAGCCAGGGCTGGGCCAGGGCTGGACTAGGCCAAAGCTAGGGACTTCAGCTGGTTCTCCGCGTGGGTACAGGGGGCCAAGCACGTGGGCCATCTTTTGCTGCTTTTCCCAGGCCTTTGCCTTTAGTGGTGGTCTGGATAAGAGATAGAGCAGCTAGGACAGGAACCACAGCCCAGATGGGATGCAGGTCTTGCTGGTGGATTTACTTGACAGGCCTTTACACAATGCTGGCTTTAGCCAGAGTGATCATGCTAAAATGGTGATGGCTTTCCTGTTGGGGACAGACTAGTTGAGCATTTCATTGTTGGTCCAGTCTTACTTGTCCACTCACCCTTTCCCTCACACACTGGACTCCTGACTATTATAATCCATTAAGCATGATATCAATTCTTTCCAGGTTTTCATATATTCTCTGTCCTTTGTCTAGAATATCTTTCCTTCTCTATTCAGGGCTTCCCTGCGATAATTACTAATGGGCTTTCAGGATCCAGTTCAGATAGAAGTTTCCCTGGAAGGCATTTTCTGATGGCCCAAAACTAAATGAGCGGATTCACTATCTTGTCAGGGATTCTATGGGTCCCTGAATTTACTATTCTGTTACATTGGATTGGATTAAACTTGCATGCATATTTGTCTTTTATATCCACTAGCTTATAATGCCCTGGAGGCTGGAGAAATATCTTATGAACCTCTGTGTCCCTAGCATTTGGCACCAGCAAAATTGTCAGTATGTGCTTGTTGACTGCACAAATGAATAAAAAAATTGTCAGATTGCTAGAAACAGTTTTGAGTTCACATTAATTGATGAAAAGAGTGTATGAACTACAACAGATGAAAGTGATTACATAATAAATGAAGCGTTGGCTTGGAGCACAAGGCCAAATTAACATTTGGCTCATCTATGGAGTGACAGTTCTGTACCACTGGACAAGTATCTGTTTTGAGATATATGTATATATGATTTATATATATATATGTTATTTACATATATATGATTTACATATACCTATATATGTATATGATTTACTCCCATGATGATTATTCTGGACTTTAAAAAAACTCATTATACTCCTTCTAGTTTTACAGTAATTGGTTTTATCTAGCTTTAAGGACTCTAAAAGCACATTCCCATCCTGCATTTTAATTTTTAATACTAATGTGGGATAATCCTTTTTCCCTTTTTATATATGAACAGGACAGGATGCTAAAATACAAAGTGACAAGGAGCACTGAGAAATGAATAGGCTCAGAAACTCCTGCTCCAAACCACCTTAAAGGAAAACTCATTCTTTTTTCATTACTTTACACCTCTAGGTAGCAAAACTTGCATGTAATTCTGGATTGTAAAAGAGATTTTATATCTCCCCATAATCTGTTCTCACATCGTTTTCCCAGGAGAAGACAGCTATTTTCAGTTAAAATTGATCCACCTTTACCAGACTTGTGGTTGAACAGCAGAGACTAAAGGATGTGAATCTCTTCACAACTCCTGGTGGGCTTGGACTACACATATCATGCTCATTTTAAGTGTGGAAAACATCTAAAAATACACTTTTGAGTTTCAGAGAATTCATATTTACAACTTCACAGAACAGAAAATGTTAATTTGATGCTTATCGCCTAAAGTGTTATTTTCAAATCTCAGAATTGCTTCTTGAATTCCAGAATATATTTATGAGGCAATATAATGGTTCTAAATAATTTCAATTGTGATAAATATTTCTATGATAATGTTTACCAACCACTAAGTTTAAACTTCATACATTTTGAACAAAAATGCCTTCCTTTTTTTCTTTTAATTTGTAGTTTTCTATGTAACTTGTAGAATCAATTCAAAGAACATAATGATGATTTTCTTAAAAGTATTACCAAGGTTTGTCAATTGTCGAGTTCAATTGATATTTGCCAAAAACATTCCATTCTTAATTGTTCTAGAGAATTCATCATATTTGTATTTCTAACAATTTGATCAGTGTGCTGAACTTATTCTCTACTTTGGACGTAAAGAAGAGTTAGTAGAGAGGCTGGCGCTGTGGCTCACTTGGTTAATCCTCCGCCTGCGGCACCTGCATCCCTTATGGGCGCCAGTTTCTAGTCCTGGTAGCTGCTCTTCCAGTCCAGCCCTCTGCTATGGCCCGAGAGGGCAGTGGAGGATGGCCCAGGTGCTTGGGCCCCTGCACCCACATGGGAGACCGGGAGGAAGCACCTTACGCCTGGCTTCGGATTGATGTAGCTCCGGTCAGAGCCACCATTTGGGGGTGAACCAATGGAAGGAAGACCTTTCTCTCTGTCTCACTCTCTCACTGTCTGACTCTATCTGTCAAATAAAAAATAAATTAATTAAAAAAAAGAAGAATTAGTAGAATCTATTCCATTCCCTGTTTGATCTTATCTAGCCAATCACCTTGAAAATGAAAATAAAATGTGAACATTTCTCAATAACCAAAAGAAGTAGGAATTGTATGACTATTCCCACTTAAAAATATTAAGCTATATAAATTATGTAACACCTACAAAATAAGTTATAACTAAGATTTTTATGTTTTTTAACAAATTTGCTTTTCAAGAATATGAAAAATATTACACATCCTCGTGAACATATTAGTGGCACATTAGATGCATATCTTCTGCATGATAAAGTTTAAGTGATGGGTATGAATCTAAAATTCTAGACTGTGAGCATGTTGTCTTTTGCCCCTCTTCTGAAATAATAGATGCCACTGTTCTAATATATATGAAAGAATATTGAAATATTAATAAAAAATTTAAAAATGCCCCAATATTTTTTTACAAAAACAGTATAAGCCTAAGTCTTTTGGTTTCCTTTCACTGCCTTTCCCTTTCGCTGCCCTGCTTTCTCTTTCTTTTTCTTTCATATATATATATATATTTGTTATTTATTTCTTACAGTAGACCAGCAGTATAATCAACGGAATTTTCAGAAAACATTAAAAACCTAAAAGTATTACCATACTTTCCCCTGTCTCACTGCATTTTGAATTTGACTATAGCACCAGAGAAGTTTCCATTAATTTCTTCAGAAAAAACTTTTCATAGAAACAACATAAAGCAGTGTCCTAAATAATTCACTTTTTATTATTTTTTTCTTTTACAGATTATTCCAAAGCTCTTCCTGGTCTTCCCACTTCATACGCTGCATTGCTAAGAATTAAAAAGAGTTCTTCCTCATCTCTCTTGGGTTCGAGGGCCAGATCCAGATACAGCAGCACTTCATTAGGAACACTGAGTGTTTCCTCACCCAGCTGGCGAGGGGTGGCTCAACATTATTATTCTCCAATCAATCTTTATCATTCCTCAGATGCCTTCAAACAGGATGGTAAGTGTCAAAGAAAAATTGCTCCAGATGAAGTTAAGCAAAGAACAGTTTATTCAAGACTGTTGCAGTGGGGAGAGACATGGAACTCAGCTTCTGTGTAACAGAGGGCCACAGAATTTTTAAGGGGTGATATGGAAAATTTGAGGATGTTGGAGGAAAAAATGCACAGTATGATTAGGCCATCCATGTTTATTAATAGTGCATATTGAAGTTTGGCGTCTAGCCCACAGAAACCCTATGTTTGCTGAAAACTTATTTTCAGTTGGAGAGCTCCCAGGTCCCTCAGATAGGTATCCCTAGGTTGATGAAATGGAAAAAGTTTGGGATGTGATTTACATCTCAGGGGGGCACAGAATTAATTTACAATTGTAAGTTTCTAAGTGCTGTAAATTAAATGCTGTAAGAAATGAAGACTATAGTCAGGGTGATCTACTATCTAGAGCTTATCCAGGTGAAGGGAATATTAAGACTCTGGTCATAAGTTTGTTTTCTATTTAATTATACTCAATACCACTCCTGGCATAGAATTAAGATTAAATGTATTCAGATACTGAAAGTAAAAATATAAATTTTCTTGAAGGGCAACTTGACAATGAATACTAATAGCCTTCAAACAATCATATCTTTCAATCTAGTGGCTTTATTTTTAGGCATGTGTTCTGTAAAATAAATAAAGAGAGCGCACACACACACACATATATATGCCATTATTTATTACTGGAAAATAAATAATCTAAAAGTCCAACACTAAAATTTACTTAAATTAAGAACACCTGTGCATCCATTAGTGTAAGGTTTGAACACTAATGTTCTCTGTCATTTTGGGATATACCAGAAATACAAGGTAAAGTGAGTTGCAAAAACCCAAAGCACCTGATTACTTGCCAGGTTCTACAGTAATATCTTTTTCTGTAGCTTATCTAACTGCAACTCCTCAACAAGTATATGAAGTGGATATTGTCACTGCCTTTTACAGATATTTCAATTTAGGGGCAGATAAGCATCTTTTGCAAGGTCATACTTGGAATTAGTCTGTGCAATTTTCATTTGCCTATCTACTTATTTTAAAAGCAGTACACTCTGGGCTACATTTCAGTTATGATTGTTGAATGACTAACCATTCAACATGACATTTTGCAAGGACCAAACTACTTGGAAAGATTCTAGAAATGTCAAATTAGGTTGTGGTACCAGGCACAGAGAAACTCATTCTTCATGATTATTCCAGTTGTTACATGAAGCCGCATCTCATATTGATGGCATTTAAACTTTAAGAAAAGTGGTTGTGCCATAACAATGTCTGATCTTTAAAAATACTCGTACTTAGTAGTTTACAAATTCCCTTTGCATTAAATAGAATGTCACACTCAGTCCAACAGATACATTGTAATTTGTGCTCTTTAGGCATTACATGCAGGCATTCCTGGGACACAATCCTAGTAGAAGGTACCTAGTGTTCAGAACTATGAACTATTCTTACAGTTGGAATAATTTGCTAACAACTAGTCTTCTACTCTTTCATTCTCTTATAGTTCACAATGAAAAAGAATACATAGATAGAAAATATGAATTAAAACACATAACTATGAAGAATACAGTAAATATTGGGACACAAGAGGAAGCCAGACATGAGACTAATTTAAAGCTTCTTTGTAGTTGCCTAATATACCTGTTTGGGACTGTTCCATGTTGAGTAATTCACAGTTAAAGAAAAAGTCTAGTCAGTTACATACTTCACAGGGTTCCCAACAATAAACTTGAGTAGTTAATTATTAGAAATACAACTATTCCAGAGAGTAACATCAGATAAATTTGGAAGAGTCTTGATTAAGAGTTTATTATTTGGGCCAGCACCGCGGCTCACTAGGCTAATCCTCCGCCTTGCGGCGCCAGTACCCTGGGTTCTAGTCCCGGTCGGGATGCCGGATTCTGTCCCGGTTGACCCTCTTCCAGGCCAGCTCTCTGTTGTGGCCAGGGAGTGCAGTGGAGGATGGCCCAAGTGCTTGGGCCCTGCACCCCAGGGGAGACCAGGATAAGTACCTGGCTCCTGCCATCGGATCAGCGTGGTGCCCTGGCTGCAGCGCACTGGCCATGGCGGCCATTGGAGGGTGAACCAACGGCAAAGGAAGACCTTTCTCTCTGTCTCTCTCTCTCTGTCCACTCTGCCTGTCAAAAAATAAAAGAAAAAAAAATAAAACAAAAAAAAAGTTTAAAGAAGAGTTTATTATTTGGTAGAATGACCTGACATTAGCTCTGGAACATAAATAATAATGAGTTTATTCTATTTCAGTAAGGGCAGATGAAACCCAAACAGCAACAGCAAAATGAGAAGTAGTTCTCTCAAACTGTGCTGCTCAATCTTTATATGTAAATCACTTGGGAGTCTTGTTAAAATATAGATCCCCATACGAACATGAGGTGTTATGAGGTCAGATAATCTTACACACAAAAAAAGCTTCCAATGACACTGATGCTGTCAGACTGCGGATTAAACTTCGAGTAACAGGGCTCTAGGTTGTGAATAATTTTAATATAATTCAAATCCTCTGCTGATCTAGTTTAATCCATAGTTTAGAGCATCAGGAAGAAAGGATCATCTGAGTATTTTCCAAGTAATCTTCTATAACTATTGTTTTCTCATCCGAGTGCTTGATGGATCTTGGCTAGATGTAACTTCAAGTTCATTCTCCCTGACAAGAGCCTGACATATGGCTTTTGTCAGGTAATTCCCTTTAGCCTTAATACAGAGTAAAGCTGAGGGTGACATGCTCTTGTGAAAAATGAGAAAACTAACTGAGCCCGAATAGAAAGTCATCCCATTCCTGCCTAAGCCAAGAAGAACCCCAAATGGAGCTGAGATTTTTCTGAGATGTAAAAACATGGTTTGCAGGGCAATTTAGGAAGCAATTCCACTTCTGGATATACTACCTAGAAAACTCTTCCACACATTTATAAGGAAATAGAAAGTGTGTTTACTGCAGTATGTGTAATGGTATAAATTGGAAACAACTCAGATGTCCAGCTGGTGGGGAATGGATACATAAATTATAACTTACTTATTCAATGGAAATTAAAACTGCTAAAGTGACTGGACTAAATGTAAAATGTACCTCAAATGACTGGACTAAATGTAAAATGTACCTCAAAATATCATGGTAAGTGAACAAGGAAAATTAACACTTTATAAATAATGTGATATCATTCGTGTAAAATAATATATTCTGTTTATGGATACATGTATGTAATAGCATTTTAAGACATGAATTTAAAATCGTAAGTTGACTATAGTGTTTATCTCTGAAGACAAAGGATAGAAACAGGAAATGATACTAGGAGACGGAAGATAAGTGGCTTTAATTAGTGATATTTTACTTCTTAAAAAAAACACTTTAGCAAATATGATGACATCAGAGGTAAATAGACTAAAATGACTCACAGTGATCCCTGTTGCCCAGCAGTTAAGGTGTAATCCCTTCTTAGTGGGCAAAATCTATTAAATTGCCTCTGGAGAATAGATTATGGCAAAAGTAAAAGGTTAAGACACCCGACTTAGGGATACAATGGCCTCTGACCTCTGCCTCGGTTGCCTTCTCTTGCCCTCTGTCTGGATCATGCTGGTGCAAGTCAGTTTGCACTGAGGGCCTCCCTATTGAGAGGCACGGGGGAAATGGTCCTTGCCCAACTTCCCATGAGTAATGGAGGCATGCAGTTTAACCACCCTCAAGTGCTGGATCTTACTGATGATCCTGTGAGTTCACATGTAGATCCTAAAGTCTAGAACCTTGGCCCAGACTATTCCCCCGCCTTGTGAAAAACAACAGTGAGTGTCTGGTGCCCTGATCACCAGAGATGTGAGATACTAAACGCACAGCTTGTTCAATCTGTGAGTAGCCTCTCAACTTTGCTTACCATACTCATGTATTTTCTAAAGAAGATTCATCTTTAGAGTTACATACGTTTCATCCGTTTTAGTTTTCTATGCAATCTTATGATCATCTCAGTAGGTTGGTATTCTGTTCTAAGCAGCAAGTCCCTATCATCACACAAGATTTATTTATCTGAATCTTGATTATGTATCCTTTTTGTTTTCTTTTCTGTACAAGGCCACTTGTTCTATGTGTTTTTTAACAGAGGCTGTTAAGAAAACTTGAAACAAAAAGGCAAATGCTATTAAGTAGAAGAGAATTCTCACTAGTTTTAGTTTAAATTTATTATACTTTTTTCATTTTATTATACCTTAGAAAATAAGCATTTAAAATATAAGAAAAATGGCCAGTGCTGCTGCTCACTAGGCTAATCCTCCACCTGTGGCGCCGGCACACCAGGTTCTAGTCCTGGTAGGGGCACCGGATTCTGTCCCGGTCGCTCCTCTTCCTATCCAACTCTCTGCTGTGGCCTGGGAGGGCAGTGGAGGATGGCCCAAGTCCTTGGGCCCTGCACCCGCATGGGAGACCAGGAGGAAACACCTGGTCCTGGATTCAGATCAGCGCGGTGTGCAGGCTGCAGTGGCCAATGTGGGGTGAACCAATGGAAAAGGAAGACCTTTCTCTCTGTCTGTCTCTCTCTCACTGTCCAGTCTGCCTGTCAAAAATTTTAAAAAAATAAAATAAAATATAAGAAAAATGTTATGAAAATCTGTCAATCTCCTGAATATGTTGTTCAAATCATGTCCACAACCTCTTTCCTGACAAGATACTAAACTAATCCACATTCTTAATTATTTCCGAATCTGAAATTCTATATTCTATAAGTATAGGTATTAATCCTATACTTTATGTAAATGATGCTGTGTATATTAGTTATAACCCACCTTAATCTTCAGTACCTTCCTGAGACTCATCTTTCTTGCAGTTCTAAGTTCATTTCCTGAAAAGCATACATAGCATTGTATGACTGTACCAGCATTTACCAGCTCTCTTTGAAAGCTATATATTTTAGTTCTAATTTCCTGCTGTTACAGTGTCATATGAATGTTCTTTTGCATACCTCGCTGGCAGTTG